GACATAGTCTTATTTTCAGTGTTATATCGTCGTCATATGCTGTGTACCGTGACAGAAACAATGCGTGACTTAACTTTTTACACTACTCTATCACCATTGTACTCATTTTAAAATGACGAGCAATGATGACTAGTTTCTCCATTTTATTGATTTTTAATAAGTTTACTTAATTTTATTTTATATATTATACTATATTTTTTATTTTACATTTATATTCTATATCTTACCTATATCTTAATTTATATTGTATTTTATTTTATATTTTATAATTAAATTTAATTACTTATATTATCTTTTTATTCCAAGTATTTTTCACTCTTTCATTTATTTATTTCATTACACTGAACTATTTAGGTTTTATTTTCAGTTTTCATAATCATCATTAGTTTCTCATTATTATAATCATCACTATCATCATCACTATCATCCTCATCACCATCATCATCGTCATCATTACAACGTACAGACAAACAGGCTATTGGAATGCGATATTGGCGGTAAAAATTGAGCGTGTTTTGCGACAGTTATGACGTCAGTTTATTATTATTATTATTATTATTATTATTATTATTATTATTATTATTATTATTATTATTATTATTATTGCTATTCATGTTATCATTGATGATGTTATTATAAAGACCACCGTACATATTGCAGCTAAGACAAGCATAGTGTCGCGAACGGCTTGCTGTGGTTTGAAGACTAGTACAGTTTGGGCGGCCCGATGGTGTAATGGTTAAGGTGTATGGCTCTGTAGAATAGATTCGAATCTCTGCCTCTCACATGCAAAAGTGTGTGATGCGTTGATGTATACATGCGTTGATTTGAGATAACAAGTGTAACAACCATAACTCTATCTCGACCTGTAAGACCATCGTTAATAAGGTTTTGGTGAAGAATTTTGTATCTGTTTTTATACGTTATTTTATTCATGAATAAAACTGTATGTATTTCTGCGTTTGTAAAAACTGACTTATAGGGAACAAAAAAATTATGAATAAATACAAGTACACGCATATATACACACGCATACACATACACACAAACACACACACACACACACATACATACATACATACATACATACATACATACATACATACATACATACATACATACATACATACATACATACATACATACATACATACATGCATGCATGCATACATACATACATACATGCATACATACATACATACATACATACATACATACATACATACATACATACATACATACATACATACATACATACATACATACATACATACACTCGGATCAAACAGAATGAAGGACCGATAGAGAGTGATACTGTTATCAGCATAGTTTTATATTTATTTTGGGTTTAATTGAAGGATAAAAAGTTATGGAGTATAATTATAAATTTATTTTATAAAATAATTTAGAATTGTTTGTTTAATTTAAATTTAAAATATTCATATAACAAAGTTAATATCTAAGTTTGTAAACAGTTGTATTGAATGCTTACACTTTTTGTTGATTTCTAAGTTGTAGTTTGCAGACTAAAATACTTTCAATTACATTATCAGTGTTTGTGTATACGTAGGCGATAAACTAAGTCCGTTACTTTGAATGATGAAATGTTTGGATTGTGGAAATAATGTAACCACTAAGGATATACTGCACTGCAAATTTTGTAGTTTCATTCGTGATTCATTGGAAATGTGCTTATATCTCTGATCAAGCAGTGAAGGAGCTTCAGCAATCTGGCAGTTTTTTCTGGAATCAGGGCACTTGTTTTGGACAGATGGATCTTTTTAAACCGAGCAATCAATTAAATGTTATGTCAGAGGATATTAAAAAGATTCAAGAGAGTGATAAAGTCATTTGTAACCAGGTAAGGGAGATAAAGAATAATCTTGAGAAAAAAAATTCAGACGATGGTTATTTGATAAAATTGATGAATCACCGATAAATTGTCCCTGCAATGACGATGATGTGGATGGAGCTGCAGAACTATTTAACAGTGAAATGATTATGAATGTTAATATTGTTTCGCCCATTTATATGGTTGAAACAAGAATTGTTCAAACGGCACTGTGGTTTGATGGTAACTATAGAAAAATGAAACTTGGTTGTCGAAGGTTTGAACGCAAATATAGGAAGAATAAATGCCTTGGATGGATATAAATATTATGAAACATGAACAATTCGCAAAAAAAAAGAAAATCAATCAATCGGGTTATAAAAAGTATCACTCAACAGAAACTGCACTACTAAAATTGTTTTCAACATTATTTTATGCATCAGATTTACAGCAAGTGTATGAGCGTCGTTTATGATATACTCATTCGAAGAATGTTAGCAAACTTTGGAATTACAGACACTGCATTGGGATTTTTCAGATCGTATTTGAGCAATAGATCAAAGCAAATATTTTTTTGGTAACGATAACTCTGATGAAGAGGAAATGTTAATCGGTGTACCTCAGGATGAACAGTCATGAAATGCTACGCGTACACTGATGATATTCAGTTGCTATCAAGCGCTTCTGTTGAAAGGTTTGGGTAGTTAACGGAAAAAATGAAAGATGGGTTGTCTGCAGTAAATATTTAGATGTCCAAAATGGCATCAAGTTGAGCAAGGATAAAACCAAGCTTGTTTCAGTTGGTACATGGCAGTAGACATCGAAGCCACAGTAAGATTAGAAAAATCAGCCACGATACTTGGCTTCACACGAATCACAAACTTTACCATGCAAGATCATATAAGGTGTATAGCAAGGTCGTGTTGTTTCCACCTGCATCAACTACAGCGGATTAAAAGATTTGTCAGCATTGATCCATTCATTCATCCGCTAACGTTTAGATTATTGTAATGGTCTGTTGAACGGTGTTTTGGCGCAGAACAGGGCGGCTAAAGTAGTAATGGGTAGTCGGAAGTTTGATCATGTGATTAAATTTTTTAGAGATTTGCATCGGTTAGTTATGGAAAAAAGGATTGCTTTCAAAATCTACGTTTTAATGTTCAAAGGTTTAAAACGGTCTGGCACGACGATATTCAACAAAGCTCTTTTCTCTGGCTCTTTTCTCTGGAACTCTCTACCTCCTTCTCTAACTACTTCTCCATCACTTACGAAGATCAGAGCGGATCTCAAGACCTCTCTGTATGCAAAATTCATTGAGGAGCGCTGTTGAACATCGAGGAAATAGCGTTTTATAAACTAATTGATTGATTGATGCGTATTGCGTGTTTGTGAATATATATATATATATATTGGTAATAGACCTTAATTTTTACAATATTCTATAAATTCTACCGAATGTCCATCTCTCTCGAGAATTAGAAGTTAACATTCGATAGAATTTATAGAATATTGTAAATATATATATATTGTTAAATTTTGTTTCTTAATATTGATTATGTGGTCTGATGTTGCGGATTGAACACTTATGGTATGAGCGGACATGTATGAGAATATGGCGGATGGATTATATACGAATATGTAAACATTATTGAATCGTATGTATGTAGTTATATAGTAAGTATATGAACACGTTTTTTACGTGTGTGAGTGTTGAATGTATTGTGTGTGTATGAGTTGTCCTTAATGAGAATGAATGGTATGTGTATGCAGGACTTTAAATAATTGGGTGTCTGATGGATGAATTTTAATGGTTCGGTATGGTTGTAACGTTTCTGAATGATATGGCTCAAATCGATTCTATTTGTCGGTTTTCACTATAATGTGTATAGCACATTGATGAATTTTTAACAAGAGTTTGAATGAAAAAGTATGTACACATTTTTTACGATTTAATTTTTTATATTTTTAAAAAATTTGCAAACCTGAATACAGGAACTGTGGACCTCTTAGATTTTTAAAACAGTTTTTTTATATATGTATGAGTGGCTGTTATAAAAATATTTACTGAACTTGAAAAAACATGGAAAAATATTTTATTTATTTATGACGATTCATTTATAAATAAAAACAGCAATCATTTTGTTAAAGACGAATCACAGTTGGTTTTATGTACAAATTATATCCCATCAGCAAAAACAACAAATAACCACTATCAATTTGGCAGCGAAAAAATTCTTTTTCAGTTGTACCATGAACTTTTTACAAAAGTGAAAAACATTAAAGCTTAATGAATTAAACAGACATAAATTTTCGAACAAATAGCAAATCACGCGTACACACGACAATAAAATGCAATGCGTGAGTGTCCCACACCTTAGCATCATACTCTGTTCTAGGATCATACACTCTACTCGGATCTAGGGGGACCGAGGGCTCCCCGTTGAGAGCAATTATTTAATGACAGAAAAAACGCATAAAATCGATCCAAAAAAGATCGTCAGCCATACTACCACAAATCTCGGCCCCCTTCAAAATTTAAACACTTTCAAAATTTTGGCCTCCCCATTCAAAGTTGTTTAGATGCGCCACTGCCACCAGTCATTTGCTTTCTTTACTTACTATTAGACTTGTAGAATTTATTTTCGGTGTTCGATTATTTTCCAGCCCTTTTAATATTAGCTGCATGCTGCTATCTCGTACAATTAATTTTAGTTGTTTTTTCCTCAATTCATTCTTTAACCTCTGTCCGTAGAAACAAGTTGCATTTCATTTCATGCGTGCTTCAATATTGAAGAAAAATATGCAATCGAATCTCGACATTCACCTAGCTAAGCAATTCGCCTCCCTTTGCTATCAAACAGACTATGACAATGTCAGCGTGGCTCAGAATATCATTAAGCATTCAGACAAGACCGAGACCATTAAAGCGATGCCATTCATTTACATTGATCATTATGAGGTTGTTCAGTTATACACAATATTATCAGTAATGTTAAAAAATGTTGGAGTCTACACACACACACGCACGCACATATTCATACATGTACAAATGTATATGCACACACAACACACCCGCACGCATAATTATATGAATAATATATATACACATATTTTTGATTTAAATCATGCATAAAAATGTAGAGATGCTTGTAGAAAATAAGATGGAAGTTCACATGATGGGATGAAAAGGTTCTTCAACGTCATTCCTCAAATTTGGGATGAGACTAGTTCTGCAGAGACCCCAAAATTTCTGGGGATTCACGTAAGGGTCCTTCTTGTCGAGTGTGAATTTCCAGCCCATGTGCTTGCGACAGGAGCTGCATTGTGCAATTGTCCAAGCATAACTGTATAAAGAATAATAACATAAAAGTTTATCAAACAAAAGCATAGCGGTGATAATAGCGGTTCAAAACACATTTTTCTTAACGGTTTTGCACTAGACTTTGACAAGAACATGGCAAAAATGGTGAAAAAAAACAAAGAAAGGTTCATTGACTGAATGAAATAATAAGAGATATTCCTTTGGCCGTGAAGCCGGTCAAAAATTGACGCTTATCTTCAGCTATTTGAACTTCACTATATCGGCTTTTCACCACACGCAGGTTATTAAAAAATATTATTCAAATTTATTTTCGTTCAGATGAAAAAGTTTTAAAAATATTTCAAATTGGCATAAAAAATAATTTTTTACTTTTCAAATAATGTCGAATGATTTTTTTATTTATGTTTTGAATATTAACACAAGAACCACCTCGAGATTAAACGCATCCTATCATGATATTTAACACGATGCATCTATTACAGTAATGTTCAGATGTTATCAATGCGTCACTTTGGCTTGTTAGTATCAACGTACATAATAAATCAGAAATATGCAAATCATTTATTAATAAAATCATCAATATTTGGAACAGTTTGAATGAGGCTGTTGTTAGTGCTGACGATGTGAATGCATTTAAAACAGAGATTTGATAACTAATGATAAATGTTAAGTTTAAGTAATAATAATAATAATAACTTATATAGAAATGACATATAAAGCCAAACAATTAGATATAATGTTGTTTAAATGTTATTAGCGATTATAGCAAATAGTGAGGACATTGTGACATTGGTAAGGAGATCGAGATTGCGATGGTATGGACATGTGTTGAGAAGGGATGAACTGAAGCAACTGAAGCGCTCTTTGCCAGACACGTGTTGTTGATTTTAGCAAATAGTAAAAAAATAAGTTTTTAATTTTTCTAAAGTAGCCAGTGAAGAACAGGTTCTAATATGATCTGGTAATGTGTTCCAAATTGATGGTGAAGAATGAAGGAAAGCACGGGTTAGCAATATTGGTTGGCACATGTTGCTTGACTATTGTAGGTGCTTTGGATGAATGCAAATTTCTGTTGGATTCTTGGATGGCGATTAGATTTCTTAAGTAAATTGGCTGTGATGTTGAAAGTGAATGTTATTGTTGAAATTTTAAATTGGATCCGAAATTCTATAGAAAGCCATTGAAGAGTTTTAAGGTTCTTTATTGAGTTGGTCTCACATGCTGGAAGTTTAATGTTTAGGGCAACACGTGCACTTCTATTCATCAATGTTTGAAGTCTTTTCATTTGTAGTTGTGTGATGCCATATAAAAGACTATTGCAGTAATCTAATCTAGATAAGATTAAACAATGTATTAATGGAGATGCTACTGTTGTTGACAAAAATGGTCTGATGTGACTAATTGCTCTAAGATGATAGTTGCATGTTTGAATTATTGAAGTAATATACTTATCAAAACTTAGCCTTGAATCTAGTATGGTGTCGCGTGTTTTCACCTGATTGCTTACTGTAATAAAAATGTGTGGCTTGATTCGAATATTGTCAATGTTGTTAATTTCTTTTAATTGCTGGTATGTTCTTAATTTGACGAATTCTGTCTTGTTTTGCATGTTGTTGTGTAGAAACCATGTTTCCAGAGTTGAAATACAAAATGTTAGTTTATTGATATATTGAATATAGTTGTGTGGATAAAAAGCATAAAATAACTGAGTAGCATCCACATATTGATAGAAAGGCATGTTGAACTGATGAAATATGTGACTTACAAGAGATATATAAGCAGAAAATAGTAATGAACCCAAAACGGAACCTTGAGGAACTTCATGTTTTAATAAAACAGGTGAAGTAGAAACTTCGTTAACCATGACAAACTGAAAACGTTTGCTCAGGTAGGAATCCAGCCAGGCTATAGCAGTATCATCAATAGCAAAGTCGTGAGTGAGTCTATTTAATAGAGTTGCGTGGTTGATGGTATCAAACGCCGCAGAAAGGTCAAGGCATGTTAGCAGGGTTACACTTTTGCTATCACAAGAATTGGAAGTTTTGTCTAAAATATGAAGAAGTGATGTTTCTATTGAATGGTTTGTGCGATATGCAGAGTGGTGAATGAAATTTGAACCGAAGAACCACTTTGACACAATTTACGAATGTGTGAATTGTATGGCTGAAACGAAAAACTTGTGGATTTGAAATACATTGTGTAAATAGTATAATTGAAATTGGTGACGTTTCATTTTCCTTCATCTAAAATAATTACCGTTATGTTATTCCTTATTTTAGTTTTTAATTGTTTTTGGACATACATGTATGGGAATATATTCACTAAATTATATATGCATTTTCTATTTATTTCATCATACTGAGTTGGGCGCATGTATATTATCATTATATATACATCATATCTATCTATCTATCTATCTATCTATCTATCTATCTATCTATCTATCTATCTATCTATCTATCTATCTATCTATCTATCTATCTATCTATCTATCTATCTATCTATCTATCTATCTATCTATCTATCTATCTATCTAATTATATATATGCCGAAAACGCAGTGATCTTTACAAATAATTGTATTTATGATAGTCTAAACCCAATATATATATATATATATATATATATATATATATATATATATATATATATATATATATATATATATATATATATATATATATATATATATATATATATACATTAGGGTCTCCCAGAAATGCACGGAATTTTTTTTTTAAATAGTTGATGTCTCACCCTCTGAAAAGTGTCTCTTGGGTACAATAATTAAATTGGTGAAGTTACAGCTCATTTGAACAAGTTTGAGAGGGTCCCCCAAGGGCTTTTAAAGTTTTATTATCGAGTTAATTCAAAATCCATATCAATAATTTTAAACAATATGCACAAAATGAGTGAAATAAAGCTAGAAATGCAAACTAGTTTAATTATCTCACTGCTGACATTAATTAGCGTTTAAAATATTATTAAAAATTACTTATAGAATGATAATCTTTATTAGAGAATGCAAAAAATGTATATTTTTAACCAGTCAACTCGCGATGTTACTGGTGTTGTCAACGTAGATCGTTAGCTGTCCTGCTCTCATCACTTGTCGATGGCACTACAAAACTTCTTGGAGTTCCAAGGTTAGCATCTGGATTAGGACGAGCAGCTGCTGATGCAGTTCATAAACATATAAAATCTTGGAAGTGTGAACAATGGTTATTGGCATGTGCCTTGACACGACATCTTCCAATGCTGAAAAACTCAATGGAGCTCGCACTCTTCTAGAAAAAGCCATGGGACGTAATTTATTATGGATGGCTTGCTGTCATCATAAGCTAGAAGTACTGCTTGCCGATGTATTCAATGTTTGTTTTGGACCATCCACTGGACCAGAAATTTTATTTTTCAAAAGGTTTCGTGAAAAATGGACAGAAATGAATCACACACCAGAAGCCAGATCAACCCCTTTGATAACTGTTTCAGATGCAATTAAAGCATTCATCAAATGTCAACTTGAGGTCAGACATTCTCGAGATGACTATTTAGAGTTTCTACTTCTTGCTGCACAAATAGTTGGGCTACAAGTTGATGTAGCCATTCGCAAACCTGGTGCACTGCACAGGGCACGATGAATGGCAAAAGCCAACTACACATTGAAAATTAAACTATTATTCACCGTAAATAAAACCATTTTTAACTTAACAGCTCGAGAATTACAAGGTATTCAACGTTTGAATCGGTTTATCATTTGTGTTTATCTTCAGTCATGGTTTTCAAGTAGGCTCACTGCTGATGCACCTGTGAATGATATTTTGTTGATACAGCGTTTGCATGACTACGACGATGCAGTTCTTGGTTCAACTGGATTAAAAATGATGCTGCGTCATTCTTGGTACATGAGTCCAGAATTGGCAACTCTTGCTCTTTTTTCATCTCTCCTGTCTGACAAAGAAAAGACTGATCTTGTCCGCACAATACAAGCAGATCGAGGCCCACATCTGATTAAAACACTACCACAAATTTTTGACAATTTGCGTGCGTCTAAAACATTTTTTGAAACATCCAATATTGATTGATGCCAGTTTTCTTGATGTACCTGTTGAAAACTGGTCAGATACTCTTTCTTTCCAAGTTGCAGCAGTGTTTGTAAGGAATCTGGTTTGCATCAATGACTCTGCAGAACGGGGAGTAGCGTTGGTACAACATTTCAATGAAACGATCACCAAAGACGCAGAGCAGAAACAATTTTTGCTTCAAGTAGTTGAACAGCATAGGAAAAACTTTGCAGAATATGATCGTGAACTGCTAGCTAAAATTTGAATTATTTGCATTAATTAATATTCAAGCGAACTGAAATTCAATAAAATCTTGTTTTTCAATCATTTTTGACCTAATTTTTGAAATTAAAAAATAAAAGGCATTGCAGATTTATATATTTTTTCAAAATTATATATTTTGTTTCATTTGTATAAACAAATCATAAAACATTTATAATCATATCATATAACACTGTATCAAAAGTTGGTCGCGAACGATCAAACACCAAAATCGGAACTTTCGGCCCCTTGGGAGACCTCTAAACATTGTCCAAATGGGCTAAAATTTGGCAGGTAAATTACTGTTACCATACAGACATATTTAACGGGGTGAGACATCAATATTTTAAAACTTCATATTTTTGGGACACCCAAATAAATATATATATATATATATATATATATATATATATATATATGCAGAAATTTATTAAATTAACCGAATTTCTAGCGTTGGAGAGTTTTTTATTACATTTCTCAATATTTCAAACCAAATTCTTGTCGTCATTATTTATTTGATTAAAGTTAAAATAATATACAGTTAAAATCTTTTGTTGTTTGTTTACCATATTGAGGAGTGCAGTATGGTTCGGCTTTAAAACGTAGCCATTTGATTATATAAATTTACATGTCCCCTTGACGGCTGTGCACGTCAGAATGTTTCATATATCGGAGTAACTGCAACATCGCTAACCAGATGTCTGACCATGCACAAAAGGGAAGGTTCAATAAACCACACTTAGAACACACACAGTACTGAAATTATAAAGGAAATCCTGGACAAAAACACCAAAATAATGAACTGTAATTCCAGCCATTCCCATCTGAAATTAGCCAAAGCCATTCAGAAGCCACTCTCATCGATATATAAACAAACAACAAAAGATTTTAACAATACTCCCGACAAGAAGAACAATAATAAAATATACAACACCATTATTATTGAAGAAAGCAACATTGACCAAAGTGCATCGACCAACGAGCAAGTAAATGATACAAAAGCAATAAAACATAAAACATAACACTGAAGTAATTAGCAAAGTGACGAGCGAAGAAACCATATCAAATAGTAAAGAAGACAGTAAAATTAACAAAGTCACTAATAACAATCACAGGAATAAAGGCCTGGGTTATAAAATTCTCTATATAAATTGCAACAAGTGCTGAAGATGATTGAAAAATCGAAATAGGTCCTATACACTCGAGAATGAATTGGAAAACTGTATATTATTTTAACTTTAATAAAATAAATAATGGCGACAAGAATTTGGTTAGAAATATTGAGAAATGTAATAAAAAACTATATATATAAGTACGAATTTCCGACTTGCTCGATGTGGGTATTCATTTACAGTAATAAACCTTTGGTCGTGGTGAGAGATTGTGTACTTTATATACTCGTACTGGCCAACCGTATTTAAATTAAATTAAATACGGTTATTGAACTTAAATTATAGAATGAACTTTGCATTTGGACTAATCATGAGGACAGGCAGTCTCCAAAGAAACGTGGAAGCCTATGAATATAACAGAGTTTAAAAAATATAAAAAATACTAGTTCTGATTCGTGTTTGCAAGTCCAATTAATGTCACTACCGACAATTTTTTAGTTTGCCACCAAATAAACGTTGAATCTTTTTTTATATTAGCATTCGTTATAGTAAATGAACAAAAATGATCCTGGATGAGTTTTGAATGCAAAAAAGAAGGTCCAACAGATCCCAATGGTATTTAGCGATATAAAAAAATGCTACTATTTTTAGTGCTTATTTTGCTTGAGGTTTCGATATTGGACTTAAGGTGAGTCAGCGAAATTCATTATTTTGTGCATCTCCATTCAGAATAATATTTAAAAATGACTATACACCAACTCAACGTTGAAAAAACTAATGGTATTTTAATATAATATTATAAAGACTCACCCCGGGAACCAGCTGCTTTCTGTGCTGGGCCTGCCCACCGTGCTCAAATTATTTGCATGGTACACCGTTAAAGTTTCATGCACGTGACCTCCTGGATTGACATATGTACCTGCAAGAGCAGTGAAGCATTCAAACTTCGGCATACAAACCAAATTTAAGTACATACACACAGGTGTCCAAAATATTTGTTCTTTCAAAATACGCATCTGCAAGTGCCCAATTACAATTTATATATAACTGCATCCAGCACCCGAAGTCTATCTTAAGTTTGAAATCAAATTTCAGCAGAAAAAAATGAATCATTATGAAAATCTTCATGGACTTCCTCAAAAAAAGTAACAATGATGACATTTAAAATTTAGCATAACAGTGAAGATATCAATATTTTCACATGGCAACAGGGAAAATAAACAAACCTAGTGGACCTTCCAAAGACATGCTGAAAACGTTTGTTAATTCGGCAACTGACTGACCACAACCTTTGCAGCACATCACTGTGCACTGGTTGGCATCGTGAATCAATTTTAACATGTCAAAAACAGATGAAGAAATGTCAACTCATAGAGAGACTCATTAATAAAATTTAGAAATTTTGTTAATACCAAAGCAAACAGACAATGAAAGAAGTGCATAAAAATAAATAAATTTGTATCAAAGAATAACAATCTACAAAAAGCTGACTTAATGTTTTAGTCTACTAAATTTTGTACCTTCAAGTGGATGGGAAAATTAACAGAAAGAGCCTGTTTTACTTAAAGACAAAACATGGGATCATAGCACCGCCCACATTAGTACAACAACAACAACACACGTTTAGACGACATTTTCCCCGAGATCGGGGGTTGCCGTTTGGCTACCTATGATGAAACCGAAATACCCCTCGACGCCATCCACATCTGTCACTCGACTCAGTATCACGCAACCCCGCTTTCACCCTGTCCTTCTCCACCTGCTCTCTCCATCCCAATCGCGGACGACCCCTTCCTACCACTCCTTCAACCTCGAACTCCAACGCTCGCCTAATCCCGACCCTTTCATCCCTTCTCAACACATGTCCATACCACCGCAATCTCGATCTCCATATCAATGTCCCATCATTGACATCAGCTCTGTACTACTCCTCCTATCCTTCACTTTAACCCCACACATCATCCTCACCATAGCTCTTTCAGCCCTCTGCAGTACACTTTCCTCCTCTCTCCTCAACGCCCAAGTTTCACCACCACATACCATGGCTGCTCTCACACATGCTTTATATACCCTCCCTTTCATCTTCACTGACCATTTCTTTCCACACATTACCCCACCCAGTTCCCTAAATTTCATCCATCCTACACGAACTCTAGCCGTAACTGCGCTCAAACATCCTCCATCCGCGTTCAGCTTATCGCCCACATTAGTAACTAGGGAAATATTAAAAGCAAAGAAAAGAATAACTCAATCAGACACTTGTTTCTCAATGTTTGCTAAAGAAAACCATGACAGCTACTGCTAACAAAAGACATGTTCTAATTTGTGCAGAACATAGAGTGGATAAGGAAATGCAAGAGGATTATATGATTTCAAAGCATGAAGAAAAGTGTAGATTGAAGAATGGGAGGGACAGAAGGTAGAGATGACAAATGAAGTTATAAAACATTAGTAAAGTTAACAGTTTAGATATTATGAGTGATATTTCTAAGACCATGATGATAGTATCAATTTAAAAAACGAGGCCATAAGGAAAGTCAACTGACCTTTTTCATGATGGTCAACTCACATCGCAATCTCTGTTGAGGGCAGTCAATTCTCAACAGTTCAAGTCTCATGTAATCATCCAGTGGCAGGGTACTTGCCACCCAGTATGAAAAATTAGCTGGGTCAGTGGGCACCTTGTCCAGATCGAACGATTCGTTCCAGTTCTGCAGCTCATCGCGAATCTGCATCATCAGCTTTTCCTGGAAGACAAGTTGAAATCAATAATTAAGTTTTTAATTTAAATCATAAAATCAATTGAAATACTGTGAAAAATAGCTTGAAAATGTAATGGCTTAACTCACACAGTTATATTGGTCGTACACCCAAGAAGGCCATTGTGTGAGTATGGAGGCGTGGAATTTGTTTGCCTGTAAAAGATAAAGTTTTTATCAAACACAAATTTACTGTTACTACAATAAAAAATTACAAGTGGAGTTATCTTGAAATATTGACATTTATTGACTTAACCAGGAGGTTGGAGTCGGATGAAAAATATCCAACTCCCACCCGTCAAAAATTTCCAACTCCAAATAAAAATTTCCGACTCCCGACTCTGACTCCAGGTTCTAACTTCCAGAAAAATTTTTTACTTTTGTATCATAATCTTACCTTATTATTACTACTAGATAAAAATACTTTAAAAGCATAATAAAACAAACGCAAAAAAACATAAATTTCGATTCCTTTCAGTTTTCTTAAGTTTGGGATAGCCTGTTCACATCCATGAAACGCCCAGCTATCAAAGCATTTCACAAAAATAACTTTTCACTTTTTTTTTGTGGCCAGTTAGGTCAGCGCCCAGGTGCTCTGGGGTTAAGGGGCCAAAAGGGCACAAGCCAAAAACATTTTGTGGGGTTGATGAGCATTTATGACGCAATTTATTTTAATTTCAGAAAATCCCTCCTCCATATATTTTCTGAATTTCATAAAATTGAAACTCCGTGCCTCTTCGAACTGCTAGCTAACCATTTGATTGCAAGCCAAGCTCTTAAAGATTCATAACCATGCAGATGGGATGAAAATGAATAAATTGTCATGGCACTGCGATAAATTTGCCTTTTGACTACAAATTTTATTGCACCCTGATTATGTGAGCTCCTATCAAGGAGCTCTAGAGAAGACTATGGTTTACCATTAAAGGACCAATTATCATGAGGTTCTCTGCTGTAAGGCCTTTTATCCTTACAAGAAGTCAATTATCTTGACCGTTTAATTTTTAAATTAGTATTGTTTCAAAACTTTTCCTAATAAATTCTGGAAGCAAACTTATAACATAAAACACATTTGTTTAACCTATACAGTTAACATTCAAACATCTTCCTAGTTTTATATTTTTACGATGAGATCAAGGCCAAGTAGAGCATTGAAATGCTGAACCATTTTCAGTTATTAACGAAAAATGTAAATAAATCTAAATATGAATTATTTAGAAATGCCCTCACAGAATCAGCAAGAAAAGTTATACCTGTGAAAGAGCAAAGCAGTTTGTCCTCTTCTTTCCAAAATGAAATCGAATAAACTGCCAGACCCAGATGAGGCTTGCAAATTAACATCAACAAAACAGTGCATGGTAAAATCAGTAAAATCAAAACTGCCCCGATCTACTCCACAAAAATTAATGGTACACAGGTAAAACAAGTCAACAGCTTCAATTATCTTGGAAGTCTGATTACCTCAGGTTGTAAATGCTATATGGATATCAAAAAAAAAGAATAGCTATGGCGAAAGATGCATATGCTAAAATGAAAAACATCTTCATCAACAGCAAAATCAGAATAGCAACAAAATTGAAACTATTAGAGTGTTACATATTTCCTGTGCTAACTCCTGGCCAATTTCTAAAGAAATGGAAAAAAAGAATTGATGCTGCAAAAATGTGATTTTTGAGAAGAATTATGAAAATTAGTTGAACATTTCTTACCTCCAATGAGGATGTATTAAAACAGTCCGGTCATGAAGAGAGGAAATTACAACAAATAATCCGACGAGGGCAGTAAAAGTTTTTTGGTCACATCTTGCGGAAGGAAGGAATGAAAAATTTCACAACTACTGGAAAGATCACAGGAAAAAGAGATTGCGGCCAACAACGAATAACATTCGTGAAGTCTTTGTGTCACTTGTTGAATATCACCACATTTCAACTACTACCAAGTGTTAAAAATCGGATTTTGTGGAGGTCGATGGTCGCCAATGTCCTGAAAGGATAAGGCACAAGAAAGAAAAAACAACGGGTACATTAGGTATTATAATGCATGTTCACATTATTTTTTCTTCATGTTTGTCAGGTACCTATGAAGTCACGCAAACGAAATCATTTAAGACTATAGAAAAATAAAACACACAGCTGAGAAGAGCATTTAATTGCTAGGTTTACCATTTCTGCACAAATTGAACAAGATGAAGATGACCTCTGTGGCATACTTCTGAAACATAGGTTCCAAGTCACAAGCCTGAATGCATGGTACTTTAATCTAACTACAGCCATGCAGAGAAATAACAGGGAGGCGTTTCAAAGAACAACTTTAAATGACCCTTAAACTAACCCTGCCATTATAACATATTTGTTCTTTTAAAATGCTCAAAACCATAAAAATTAGAATCAACAGCCAAATTTTCAATGTGCCTACTTTTTCTGATTGCACCTAACACAATATGTAAGGAAGATGCTCGTTCACTCTTGTAAAAATGAACTTGCTATTCAGATGCACAAAAATCATCTAAACACAATTTCAATTAATTAGTGGTTGGTTTTGCAAGAAGAAAGTTACATAAAATGGATTCTTTTGTAAACGTTGGTGTATTAATTCATTTATTCATCTTTTTAGAGACAGGGAGCTCTCATTGTTGGAAGCTCAGACTACCTTCAATTAATCCTTGGTTTTTGCAAATGTCAGTTTTCAATGTTAACTCAAGAATTTCATCACCTACAAACATTTTCTTAACAGACACCTGCCAATAACAAATGACTTTAAATATTTTAAAATTTATTGTAAAATTTCATGGAATAAAAAGGCAAATGCAAAATAAACACAAAGTAAAATAAATTAAATCATGAAATGAAAAAAAGCAAAAATTTTAATTTAAATCAAAAACAATAAGACATATCTCAGTAAAAACGTAATTGGTTGAGCAAATCTAAGTGAAAAAAAAAATAAATTTGAATTGTTGAAAACCCAGATGAGTATGAAATGGAATACATGAAACAAACTTTTGGTATAGAGTTAATGACAGCCTGATTTGTGTTAGTAGAAAAATCATATTTGCAATGATCACTGTATTGTTGAGTGTGTTTAAGAAGAGAAGATGGGCAAATGGGTTGAAGCAGATCAGGTAGTTCAATGTCAGGAAGTATTTTCACACGAGCAATTATTATCCTGAAATGATGAAAAAATAGACTAAATTTATTATTATTTGAATAATTTTAGCAAATAGCACTGCTACGTTGTTGAAAGCAAAGTAAATTTAAATTTAAAACAAACCCCCCAATGTCAAGTCTTGTGTCGAGAACTTCAAAACGCTGCCTTCCAATCGTTTTAACTTTCATGACCATACTGTCTTCTTCTTTCACTGCTAATATTTCTGCTGTCGTTCCTACACAGGCCAACTTTTGAGTGCGATTGTTATTTGCCGAAAAACTGAAAATTGTAACTCAATAAAATGGTTTGGACATTGGTAGTATTTTACATTTTTAAAAAACTTACAGTCTATCAACTTGTCCAAACGTTTTATCCCGATCTAAACAATGTTTAATCATTGCAATATCTGAATTGCTAAACAAATGCAAAGGCAACATTTGGCCCGGCATTAAGACAACACCAGGAAGTGTCAAAATGGGAATGTGAAGAATCATGCCATCTTCATGAAATGTCCGACCACTTACCTCTTGCCAATCGTCACTTAAGTACTGTAATCCAGAATTGTTGTAAAATAAACAAACAGCAATACAAAAAATTTATTTAAATAAAAAAAGCAAGATAAAATTAGTTAAAATCAATTATAAAGTAAATAGAAGTAAAAACATTTTAGATTTTACATACTGAATGGGCTGTTGGCAATGTGACATCAAAAGTTATGATTCCATGTAAACCATTAAAGTTTGCATCTAACTCGCCATCGTCATCAATAAGTCTATGACCCGAATCTGAAGAACGAACAAAACATTTCTTCTTTAGAAATTTTGCTATTCTTTGCATAGTTCCGCTTTTATTTCCCAAAATCAAAAACTATTCATCTTTTTGACAACAGTTTCCACAAAAAGACTTTTGAAAAGCCTCTGAAAACCGTTCGCCGCCCCTCGATTCAATTGAGAAAATAACGACGCAATAAAACGTCATAAGCTCAAAATAACCGTGCATGTTTTGTGTTGTGCTTGTAATCAGCTGTGGTTGGTAGGCTGGACTAGCAGGGGTGTCAAAACAAAACGAAATGATAAAATAACTGCACCTGAATCCGTGTCTATTTCGTGGAGCATAATGTCTATTTCATTATTTTCTACATCGTCCGGATTTAACTCCTGGTCACCTTCCTCCATCGTGTTTCCTTTTCAATTTGCAACCCTACGAGTAGACAATCAAATGAACAAAACACAGCTTAACAGTGATCAGCGCCACGAAAAAAAGTAAATGTGAATTCTAGTTTAGAGAAATGTTTTGTTTAAATCAACTTTAAGTCATGGATATATAAATATATCCATGCTTTATGTATTTGGTTAATATGTCATACTTATAATAATCTTTATAATATGGCTATATAATATGATCAATTTTAAGACCACGGTCATGTAAATAGAATTTTCACGATATATTTAATAGGTAAAGGTAAAGGCAAGTAGAGGGTAGATAAAAAAAACTATTGAGTTATAAAATACTGTTAAACATATTTTTAAAAAGGCTGCTACCATATGCACACGCACACACACACCACACACATTAGTTCTAGTTTTCCAAGTTCATTCCATTCCATAATCGACAGATTTATCCAGTGTTTGAAAAAAGTTGGATATTAGATCTCGTCAAATTCGCTCAAGCTCGCCGTATGTAAAACACAGTTACATCCCATGGTTGCATCGCGGTGGTATACGTGGTAGCAGTTGTCAAAGCTTAATTTCAATTCGGTTGAGATAGGTGATGTCAAAATATTATTCACCCAACGATATCTGACCATAAATATGGATAGATTGATATATATAATATGCTTCCATGCATCCAAGATCCATGCATCTAAGATCTAACTTGGGTGTCTTGCTTGATAGCAAATTATCAATAAAAAAAATATTAAGAAAATATTTGTATCAAGCAACTAAGAAATATGTATTGAATCAGACTCTCATCAGATGGATCTGCAATGGAGACGTTGATCCATGTCTACCATTCAACATTGCAACATTCTGTTTTATAAACTGCCAGACAAATCAAAAGTTCTTCAATCAATTCAGGACAGAGCTAGAAAACTGGTGACTAGTGCTGAGTGCATTAAAATTTGATCACGTAACACCGATCCTGTAATAATTACACTGGCTGACTGTTGAAATTTGTTTACCAAAACGATTGCGTCGTCTCATCTAAAACCAGAATTTTTTGTCAGTCCCAGTTGCACATTTGCTGATTGGTTCAAGGATTATTTTTGTCGCAGGTTCTACTGTCAGGAACAGCCTGTAGCCATCATTGCGTATATCAGGACTTTCGCTTGAAACATTTAAGAAATATTAATAACTAAAATTTTTTTAATTTTTTGCTGAGTTCATAGATTATTAATTTTTGTGTTTTTTGGTTAATGATGTAAACTGTTTGGTTTATTTAACTATGGTAGAGCTTTTGAAAAAATTTAGTTAGCGCTATACCATGTAAATTTCTATCCACCATCATCATCATGTACGTTTATGACGCTCAACCCTGAAAGGTAGAACCGTCCCAGGGTTTGCTGGTAAAGCCCCGGGTTAACCTGGTCGCATGAACACACACACTTAAGCGTCTGGTTTCAGGCCCAGTGCCCCATCTCATGTCCTTTGAAAACACCTTTTCCAGGTGAGCTTGGGTTTGCCACGTTTTCTTAAATTGCCAAGCATCTATCTACATTTCTCTACCCAATCCTACATTTCTCTATTTCAGTCTAATACCTCAAATTACATCTAACTACTCATTTACTCCCAACCCTATATATATAATATATATAGATATATATATTATATATATTATACATATTATATATATATATATATATTATTCTAATTATATGTATTCAACCACAAAACGAAAATAGTCGTTGGAAGCTTTACTAATGAAAATGGCGGGGGTTTTAATAAATGAGAATAAGGGTAATTTAAATAAGCGAGAATGCCATGGTTTTAACAACTTCAATCTTCAGAGTATATGCTTGCAATATATCGCTGATCGTGTTGATTTTTTGGATTCTCTCGTCGGTTTACCAGAAATAATTGGAGAAAGAATATTTAGCAAATTAATTAAAACTCATCATCCACACTACAATTCTGATTTTAATATTGCTAGTAGTACTAATACAAAATTATTATTTTATTGCCCTTCAAGAAAGTCTAACAAAGTATTGAAAATATTTGACGAAGCATATAAAGAAAGTTTTTTGAAAGAATTAAATTTTAGTTTCAGCCAAGATATTGTGTTGGATAAAGATTAGATTATTATTATATTTATTATTAGATTGTATTTTTAATTAAACGTGTCATTTATAAATTTTTCATTTAAATTAAGCAAACAAACATTATTTATTTATTTTATATTTATTGTCATCTTGTACTGTTATGTCTTCTTGCTTAAACTGTTATTAACACTATTAAGATAAAGTAGTCAGTATGAAGGTTGGGAAATCATTATAGTATATTTTACCAGGCAGTCATTTAGTATTTTACTGTAATAGTATTTATATAATTTTTGTTGAGATGTTTAGTTGAACATTAAATAGAGCTTAATAAAAATTGCAGTTGAATATTTATTAGATATTACCAGCCTTTCCACGCTTCTCTTGTTTACTACCTAAACTGAAAAAATCTAAAATTCTATACCTATGAGTGAAGAAAATCAATTGTATAAGAGTTTTGTTTAAATGTGAATCATTCAACAGAAACAACCCTTCCACATATTTTAGATAAAACTTTCAATTCATATGATAGCAAGAGCATCACTTTTCTAGCAAGCCTTGATCTTTCTGCTGCTTTTGATACTGTCAATCATAAAATTTTACTTAATAGACTCAGTCAAGAGTTTGTCATTGGAGATGCTGCTCTAGCCCGGTTTAAATCCTACCTAAGTGATCGATATCAATTTGTCAAAGTTGACAATTTTTCTACTTCACCACAATATTAGAACAAGGTGTGCCACAAGGTTCTGTTTTGGGACCATTGCTTTTCTCTGCTTACATTTCTCCAGTAAACCATATTTTTCAACAGTTTAACATACCTTTCCATCAATATGCTGATGATACTCAATTACTCTATACTATTAATCCTTGCAATCCAACTCCTGACATCAATAATTTTACATCTTGTATTTCCTTACTTCTGTAACTTAATCCTTTCAAGACTGAAATCACCAAGCTGGGTCATCTCATCAACTTAACGCAATCAATGATATTGACAAAATCTACATCAATTTTACTCCAATCACATTATTTTTTATGTGTGTAACTTTGCCTCTATATAATTATGTGCAGGCAATTATGCCCTAACCCTCATACCAAACTTACGATGTCAAACCAAATGTTTAAAAACTTTTAATTTACAGAAAATGAATGCTACTCTAATTTTTTATCATTTTCTATGTTGATCTCTATTAATTCACGGCATAACCTGTTGTTCATAAATTTTATTAATATGGTTTATTTATTCATTTATTACAATCTTCATCAGGAAAAGCAATCTTCCATATGTCTTAAAAACTGTTGACACATGTTCTGAAGCTATAATGTGTTTTAAACATTTAACAAAATTGGATATGAGTGGGTGTCATATTGGAAATGCACACCCACTAATCGATTATATTGCCAGATTGAATAAGTAAGTTACCAAATTTGAAGCATAATTAATATATTATAAATGTATAATAATCTACTGTTAACATATAGGGTGGCATCCTTTCATCTATAAGACGATGGTCTAGCTTATGTTTGCACTCCATGTGGCTAACCAATCTAATCCATGCATAACAGTACCTTCTGCATAGTTGGCAAACACATTTTCTAGAAACATAAAGCCCTTAAGGTCCGTTTTTTGAGACCTTCTGTTATCATTGCGTGTTGACTTTGTTTCAGCTGCTAGTGTTCCGCTTTTTGGTAAAATTCTCCAGCGTCCTATGAAGCGAGATCCTCCAAGTTCTCCAGTCTCTTAGCAGACGTTTTTGTTTCAAAGTTTATGGTAACCTGGGCAGTGGGTTCTCATCCAATTTGCCAAATAGCAGAGTTTCTGAGATCCTGTCTGAGGTAGTTTTCCTGACATGGCAAGCTAATGTAAACGAAGGCTTCTTTTACCAAAACCGCCATGGCAGACAACGAGGCAACAACAACAACACACGTTTAGACGACATTTTCCCCGAGATTGGGGGTTGCCGTTTGGCTACCTATGATGAACCCGAAATACCCCTCGACGCCATTCACATCTGTCACTCGCCTTAGTATCACGCAACCCCGCTTTCACTCTATCCTTCTCCACCTGCTCTCTCCATCCCAATCGCGGACGACCCCTTCCTATCACTCCTTCAACCTCGACTCTTTCATCCCTTCTCAACACATGTCCATACCGCCGCAATCTCGATCTCCTTATCAATGTCACAATGTCCTCATTCAGTCCCATCATCGACATCAGCTCTGTACTACTCCTCCTATCCTTCACATTAACCCCACACATCATCCTCACCATAGCTCCTTCAGTCTTATGAAGTATACTTTCCTCCTCTCTCATCAACACCCAAGTTTCACCACCATATACCATCGCTGCTCTCACACATGCTTTATTTACCCTCCCTTTCATCTTCACTGACCATTTCTTTCCACACAGTATCCCACCCAGTTTCCTAAATATCATCCATAACACACGAACTCTTGCCGTAACAGCGCTCAGACAGACGAGGCAAGCTGGCTTAAATACTTGTTGTTTATAGTATTTTTTTGCCGCTTCATGTGGCACAGGCATCTGGAGTGAATAGCATATTTATGTTGATCACTATAAATTCACAGCATAACCGGTTGTTCATAAATGCCATTAATATTGTTCATTTATTTATTTATTATAATCCTCATCAGGAAAAACAATCTGCCATATGTCTTAAAAAGTTCAATACGAAATATTGAAAAATTGAATCAGAAACTGATTGAAGCTGAAAATCAGTGATATTTTTTAACAATTGTGTCTCCGACAGCCTCAACCCTAATTGTATGTATGTATGTATAGTATATATATATATATATATATATATATATATATATATATATATATATATATTTATTTATTTCATGTTCAATGGCTGTCATGGTTTCACCGCCCTTTCAACAACTCTTCAAAAGTGTTCGGAGTTACAGGAAAATTAACCGAGATGAATTCAGGGATTCGATTAGAAAAAGTGATCTATGCTGTCCAAATACATACTCCGGATATGACACAAACACACTTTTCAACTTATATGAATCCACCTTCGGGCAATTCATAGATCAATATGCTTCTATAAAATGTATTAAAGTCCGCTCAAAATCCAGGGGCTGGTTTGATGATGAATGCTACAAGATAAAACATTCTACACGAAGATTTGAGATGATATATCGTTCAACAAAAAACCCAATCGATCTCAATCGCTGGAAGAGTGCGATAGGTGAAAAACACAAGTTATTCGTCAATAAAGAAAAAAATTTTTACCAATCGATGATTGTCTCAAACTCTCAAAATCCTAGAAAGCTATGGAACATCGTGTCTACCTTGCTTGGGAAAAATATTTTTCCTAACTTTTCAGTTTCGTCAATCTCAGCTCAAGATTTCTTGCAACACATCAAATCGAAATCTGAGGTATCATTTTAAGGTGGCTTCTTCCGGTTTTCACAACAACTCAACATCGGTTCGACCACTTTGAACCTATCTCTACTGAAGATTTAAAAAAACTAATTCAATCGTCAAATGGGAAATCATGCAGTCTTGATCCGCTCTCAACATTTCTTCTAAAAGAACAATTGGACTTGCTCTTGCCATTTTTGTGCCACCTGGTCAACAGCTCCATCCATATCATATAAATCAATCAATCAATTAGCTTATAAAGCGCTATTTCCGCGATGTTCAACAGCACTCCACAATGAATTTTGAAAACAGATGGGTCTTGAGATCCGCTCTGAACTTCGCAAGTGATGGAGAAGTAGTCAGAGAAGTAGGTAGAGAGTTCCAGAGAAAAGGACCAGAAAAAGCAAAAGCAGATTTGGCAAAAGAGTGTTTAACACGAGTTAAGAAAAAGCGAGAAGAAGAAGACGATCGTAAACCGGGGCGTTTAGGTTCAATTAATATATCACTTACGAAGTTCAGAGCAAATCTCAAGACCCATCTATTCGTAAAATTTCGAACGCTGTTGAATATGATTAATTTTAGCATTCTGTTTTTATTAATATGCTCCTGTATTATTTACCGAAGCACGAGTGATGGAGGTAATTGATATGGTTGTGCGGCTTTAGAATTAAATTCTTAACTGGTTATTCTTTCAGTTTAAATTATCTCCATCTACAAGATAACAGTCTTAATGAAGAAGATTTGAGAAGATTAACAACTGTTATTGTGGTTCAAAAATCAGGATTAACCAACCTCATCCTCATAGATTTATCAAGTACACCAAAATTTTATGCATAATTTGTGTAATTGTATTAGTTTTAATCTTTAACAAAATCATAGATAATGTTCACATTGGCGATAAGGCCTTGAAATATTTGACAAGAATGAAAAAATTGCGAACGGTCATTTTAACAGGAACATCTGTTTCAGTTTGTATTTGCAATTGTTACCAGTACTGTATAGTTGTTTGTGAATTTTTATTTAAAACATTAAAGGATCTTTGTGTCACAGAGTTGAAAGCCATGTTGAAACTCAAATCGTCTACTTACCATGAAATATCATCGTTGCTAGAAGTCAAAACGAGTGGCTGGGCAGCACCGGTCGTCAATTATTGGAAGAGCCACGAATTGAGGCATATTAATGGCGATGAACAATTTACGGTAGACGAGAAAAATGACGTATGTCGCGGCAGCAGAAAAAGATTTTGTGAGTTAATTACTCTTCTATTCAATTTTATTTTATTTTAAAATAAAAATTAATAGATGAGTAGTTAAAAACTTTGTTTTTTTTATATAAATAAATTTAAAAAACAATGATAAAATACGAAACAAAATATTGAAAAACTGAACGATAAATTTATCAAAGCTGACAATGCATATATTTTTTAATAATTTACGACATATTTTAGTATTTACGACAGTTTCAACCCTAATTTTTTTTATATATAAAATATAAATTTTGTTGGATATGTGCCTATACCACATGCATTTTAAGAATGGTTCGCACTTTCATTTGATTCAAACATTGTTTGCATTTCAGTTAAAAAGATTCGCCGCAGTTCAACAGATATGAACCAAATTTCTGAGGTCCCTTCAAGAATTATTGTCTTACATTCTGATGGAGGCGATTTAAATGTGAATTAGTATTTCTAGATTGGTTGTCAGTATTTCTATTAGTATCTATTTTATCTATTTTTTCCATTTTTCACGTAACTTTGAAATGTGCTATAAGCCTATAGCCAACTCACTCATTTAACAAAACGTGATTGGTGCACGTGTTTTTAATCGTCAGTTGCGTTGAACAATAAAATATTCTTATCTTATCTTTTGCAGAATGTTAACTGTTGGCCGTTACCAGATATCTTCTTTTTATATTAATCATTTAATATCTTAAGCAGCGTAATAACACTTGAATGAAATAAGATGCGTAAGTGCTTCGTTTGTGTAGATTTATATTTCGTCATTTACTGTTTACCGTTAAATCACGGGGTTTTACTAACTGAATGATATTTGAACGTTAGAATATGAATAGAAACGTGTTTTAAATGATACTAGTAACCACATTTTGTCTGCATGTATTTTGTTAAATCTTCAAGACAGTTTATAATAAAATGGGATGGCGCTTTTGCGATGTAGTTTACGACGAGGCGTAGTGAAAATGTGTACACGAGTGAAGAACCTCTTGAACGTTAAACCTTATACAGGTAAATTACAGGTAAACATGCAACGTTTCAGGCGCCTCAGACACGTATTTAAGTCTAGCTGTAAATTATTTGTTCAGAATTGTTAAAGATTTCAAGTTCGTTTTAAATTTTTTGAAAAAAGTTATTGGAACGAATGAATTTACTAAGCGATGTGTGGCATGATATAAGTTGGAAGATTTGATCTAGACATGGAACTATTCTATTTGCCAGATCTATCTCTTCCAATTTATGGACGCCTTCACTTTCTGCTGCATGTTAACTGCTCTCCTGCGAGGTTGAAAAAATGTGGAAGAAAAAAGTTACTATAATAACGAAGATGGGTAATGTTATTTTAAGAGACGAAATTATAATAGTATAATCAATGGTTTGATTTCTATAGAATAATGTTGACAGTTTTTAAAAAGGCTTTTAAAGAATATGATTAATTTTGTCAATCAATGGTATGTTTTAATTTACATTAGATGGATAAAGCAACGAAGCCTATAGTTTCAATCTTGTCTAGTTTTTTAAATTCGGTGATTTTTCAAAGCGACACAATCAGGGTTTTATAAAGCTGTTGACAGAAACGACGAATTAAATAGGAAATTCTTACGTCTATTATTAACTCATGCACATCATTAATCATGTTCATACATAGAAATTACTAATTAGAGTGATGCCCTGGCGGTTAAAAGGAGCCTGGTGCTGGAACGCAGTAAGCGGGCTCGAATAAAAAAGGGAACCCCCGCCTAACACACGCTGTGTATTTGATGCTTTGTTTGGCACGTACTCATAAATGCTGTTTGAGTGTTGTTGAAATTTATGAATTGCGTAAATATTTTCGCGAACAAATTTTGGTTTACGACGTTTGGAGCACTTTGCAAAAATTCGATTTACTTTCAAAGATAATAATAATGTTTAAAGTGTAAGGTGTTGTCTTTAATAATTTTACATTTACACCCTCGTGTCTTGACAGGCTACGATACATCCAAGAAACTGTTGAAAGAATAGGATTGGTTAACTAGCGCTGTTCTCGTGCAACCAGACGTTCATTTTTGCATGCATTGTATATCGCCTAATACAGTGAATTTTTTATCATAAATGTAATGTTCACTTCTCAAAACAAAATGTTTGTACTGATACAAATCGTGTATTAATCGCATTTTAAATTTTATTGTCAAAAGAAATAGTGAAGCTAAATGAAAAACATCGAGTTTTCAAATCATACAGAGCAATTATTATCTACTCCAAAATATTCTTAAAAAAAGAGGCTGAATTAGCTTTAAATTTAGACGAGTCAAAAAATTATTGTATTAGTATGAGCTTTTAATTTCTAAGAATAGGTTTTAAATAATTTAAAAATGGGTTAGTCAATTTTAAAATAAATAAAAACAATTATTGATAATGAATAATTAAATCGCCATGGTTGGAAATATGGAATTTTACGTAGTTTACATTACACATGCCTTTCCAGGTAGCATTACTAATTTAATTAAATTAGATCGTCAGTACTGGTCTATTATTTAAAACAGCGGTTCTCAACCTTTTCAGTGTCGCGACCCCCTTAGCTACCATAATCCATGTTGTGACGACCCTCAACTAAAAAGTTATTTTGTTCAAAGGCTTAAGTAACTATAACTAATGGAGAAAATATTTTATGTTTAAAAACAGATCATTCGTCAGTTGTTTATTCTATTTCTCTCTCTGGAGCATAATTCATAGCTGACATTGAAGAAAAATTACGTCTCGCTACATCGCTATAAACATGCTCGATATAAACTATTTTCATTGTGTTTCGAGAACAACAACTTCAAAATTTTCTTTAATGGAGTTTTGCCAAGTGCAGCAAACAGGGTCAGCCAGACAGAATTTCGTAAGTTAACCAACCGGTAGTCACATATGAACAAATGTTGAGTCATTGCAGGCACAAACAGTATAACAATAATATATATAACAGTATAAAAAAGTTTTCACAAATTGTACAATTACACAATATAAGGGAGTGAAAAATCAAATTTCCGATAGTCTAAGGTGACCCCGAGTGAGTCGCTACCCACAGGTTGGGAACCACTGGTATAAAAGTCCACGACACACCACACCCACGCACATACTATAGTCGCGGTGTCCGGAAAATTCATCGTGGAAAGTTCATCGTGGGGAAAATTCACCGTGAAGCTAATTTGAAATTACAGTATTTGCAGTTATACACACTATGAATGTTGTATATTATAAATAAATGGTGTATATCTATATATAATATATAGTTAATTTCGGCGGTGATTCGTTGGTAAAACGAAATCTTGATGGCACCGTAGTTGACAATTGAGGCAGGCGTAACGAGCGGTCCGGCCAATATTAGTGCCGACCGTTTTCTGTAGACCTTCTCATAGGGGTTCGATCGCAAGCCCAGCAAGTGCAATAAGCCTGAAATTCACTCGAATTAAAGTTGAAATTTGTCGAAATTAATTGAAACGAGTTATTTTCGAACATTCAATAATAGATTGTTGATTGAACGACAGCATTGAGACGAAGGTCTGGAATCGAACACAACACCAACAACTGTACCAATTAGTCGATAAATTAATTAATTAAGCCGAATAATGAATCAATTTTGGCAATCAATTGACGAATTAGGCCGAATAATGAATAGATTTCGGCATTTTAACGATTAAACAGTAGTTAGCAATTAGTATCATATTGCACGATAGGAATTGAACCTGCCGCCACTATCAACGATAATCTAAGTAAACGAATTCGGTTTCGATTATTAATTAATTAAACGACCTTACATATATTTCCGCTCCGGGCCTCAACATCTTATAACAATACCACAATGAATTATGCACTATGAATTTTACCCCACCACGATGAATTTTTTTTATGATGAATTTTTCCACGATGAATTTTCCCTCACGATGAATTTTCCCCCACGATGAATTTTCCTCCACGATGATGTATGGCGCTACTGGGCCAACCACCACAAACTGACAGCCAGTGTTGTTCAACTGCATGCGAAGTTTAAAATTTGACATTACGTCTGTACATTCCTGAACAAGTTGCTTCGTTACGATATATGAATTTTTCCGTAAATCCATAGACGCTTAAATAATATTCCTTTGCCAGTTACAGTTTTAACGTTAGTCATCGAAAGGCTGCACTCTTACAGTATGTAAATCATTTCAATGTTGGTTAATCTGTGAAATAAATACTCATTTAATATTTCAAATAATCAATTTAAAATTAATTAACACCATCAAACGTATAGTTTTATAATGAAGTGTCATTTTTTGGATCCAGCATTTGGTCTGTGATGTTTTATCATTAATTTAAGTTTCAAAGTAATTAAAATGGCAACATTGATAGGACGTGCAAACATAACGTAACAAACATAATTATCTTCGCTTCAAATCAATCCATAAAGGTAGTCATATTCAACTCACTGTACACTGTCGTTTTTCATATTTTTATATAAAAAAATTGTCGTCCGGCAAACATGATGCAATTGAAAATTAAAATCTAAAATAGGTCTTCATACAAATCATAACTTAAAATTGCGGTTAATATTCAAAAAATCTTCAACAAAATTTATAAAACTTTGAAAAAAGTTCATTCCGTTTTTATTTTTATCAACAAAAATGGAGTAAATGACGGAAGTTCTGGTACTCTGAACATCCAAGCTACTGATGAAATTGAAAATATACCCTAAGGAACATCACAAAATATCCCAAAAAAGAGCCCATTACTCTGAATGTCACTATCACAAAGGATCAAGAAAGTAAAGAAAGTTCTTATATATATAGATATCGAAACACATAGATATCATAACACAATATCTGCTGCTTTTAGGGTTTTACCGGCAATTATTCGAATTTTTCTCCCCTTTTTAACTTTCCCTAGACCTCCATGAACATTTCAAGACTAAGATAAGATAAATCGGTTCAGCCGTTCTCAAGTTTTAGCGAGACTTACGAACAGCAATTAATATATATATATATTGTTATAACCGTGCTACCAAACGTACTAGAACATCCTAGAATATGCTAGAATCGGACCATCTAGAAGAAT